GAGCCAGTGAGCAACATCCAAAGTCAAACAATGTTGCAAAATTGAAAAACAGTCAGCAAACCAGCATAACAGCTGACAGCAAAGAGGCAGCTGACATATCTCTGACCTTGCCCCAGAGAAAGGGCGTAAGGCAAAGAAACAAGCCCTCAGTAAACCAATACAGCAAAAACCCAACTCCAAAGCAGGACGGCTAGTGGACCACAGAGCTAATCTCCAGAACTTGAGGACAAGCCACACCTCACTGAGGGAGGAGCTGACTAAGCAGCTGCCACTGAAAGACAGGAAAAAAAACTGGCGAGTCTCCTCAACCACCTGGCAAGACTAAGACAGAGCTTCTGCTTAAATATGAACACCAGGACTGGATGCTGAAGGAGTAACACCAGAACAACTAAGACTGAAATTCTATTGTTCCTGAACCTGAATTTTTTTAATGTGTTTGTTTGTTTTGTTCCCTGTTTGTTTGTCCACCACCTCTCCATGTTGATTTCTCTGGTTCTTTCTTTTTTTTCTTTTTCTTTCTTCGTTTTATTAGTTTTACTATTGTAAGTTAGCTAATAGTAAGTTTCACACAGACCAGGGACAGAAACAGCACCAAGTGGAGCGATAGGAAGACAAAAAAGGTGATGGAAACCATTCTCTCCCTCCAAAATAAATTAATACAGGATTCAGAGGGAAATGAAGAAATCGGATACCCAGTTCCAGACTCTAACAAAACAAAGATAAACTATGCCAAGGAACCCAACGAAGCCCACAAGAACACCCTGAAGAAGAAATCCTGCAAGTAATCACTGAGAATTTCATGGAGATGTTACTAGACATGGTAAACCAAAACATACAGGAGGCACTCAAGAAATTCCAAGACATCAAAACAAATGATGTCTTTTTATGAGAAGACATAAAAACAAATAAATGAACTCATAGGAGCTTTAAATAAATACCAAAGTGAAACAGAGAACACCATAAATAAAGAGAAAATGAATTAAGGACGAAAATTGACAATATTAAAGAGGAAGTGACCCCATGATATGGAAAATCTCAGAAAAAAGAATGTAACAGAAATACAAAACACAATGGAAGGCGACTCCAGCAGAATAGAACAAGCAGAAGACAGAATCTCAGAACTTGAAGATAAATGGAAATTAAAGAAAAAACTGAAGAGCTATTAGTCAAACAACTCAAGACCTATGAAAGGAATATGAAAGAACTCACTGACTCCATCAGAAGACCAAACCTGAGAATCACGGGCATTGAAGAAGGAGAAGAGGTGCAAGCAAAAGGAATGTGTAATATATTCAACAAAATAATAACAGAACATTATCCAAATCTAGAGAAAACTATGCCCATTCAGGTACAGGAAGCCTCCAGGACACCAAACAGACTTGACCAAAATAGAACTACCCCACAACATATTATC